TCGTTTAAGATCGAAAAATAAATTTCATCATCAAAATCATCATGACCAAAAATATAATACATTAAACATAAGGCTCTTTTAAACAAAAGATTTGATTTATCATTTTAATTCTAATGATAATACTGTTTCATTTTATGTGATTGATTTCATATAAGTATGTTCAAGTTTTTCATATAAAAATCATCCATCTTGTTTAAAATCGAAATTCAATACAAAATCATAAAGATACACATAATTATTTAGAATTAATCTTATTTGATGTACAAGTATTATTACAAAACATGTAATTATCATGATCAATATATATATATATATATATATTCAAAACTACAGGCGGCCACCACGGTGGACCGAATACTCCGCTTGCTCGCGACTAACAGAGTCGTCAGCTGCAGCACCGTCCACACAGGGACAGATGGCCACCCTTTGAGGAGGTACGGCGCGGCTCCCATCTGCAAGTACCTGACAAAGAACGAAGACGGTGTGTCACTGGCTGATATGGCATTGGTGCATCAGGATAAGGTCTTCGTGGATGCATGGTAATTTAGAAGGCGAAGCATAGAGTTGAGACCATTAATTCTTCATGTATTTTCTTCTTTCATTTGCCGAGCGAAAATACTGAGAAGGATTCATGGCAGGTACTATCTAAAGGATTCCGTTTTGGAGGGAGTCGTCCCTCTGAACTCCGCCTACGGGATGCCGGTGTTCGATTACATAGGCACAGATCCACGGTTCAACAAGGCGTTCAACGCTGGCATGAGGGGCCTCTTCTGCGTCATCGTCAACAATCTGCTCCGCGTCTACGGTGGTTTCGATGATGTGGAGATACTCGTAGATGTCGGTGGCAACGACGGTGCCATCCTCCAGATGATTACCTCCAGGCACACACACATCAAGGGCATCAACTACGACCTGCCCCATGTCATCTCCGGTACCAAGCCCCTGCCAGGTCTCCACTTTCTTCCATCATAAACAGCAACCTGCCTATAAAGAAAAAGAAGAATTATTATTGTATCGCTTTCTAAACAGCAACCTGCCTGTAAAGAAAAAGAAGAATTATTATTGTATCGTTATATATTTGGGCTTACGTTGATGGCATGCCATGGTTTCTTTGCAGGTGTTAAACACGTCCACGGAAACATGTTCAAAACTGTTCCAAGCGGAGACGCGGTGTTCTTGAAGGTCAGGACTTCTCATCCTTTCTGGCTGAATATCCGATAGGCTGACCTTGCTCTTTGTTTTCTTTTTCTATTTTTCTTAATATTTCGAGTAGCTACATGCATCGGTGAAGCCAAAAAAAAAAGGTACAACTCATATGATAACAAAAAGCCCTCTTCATAAACTAACAACGCTATAACACGGACTAAGGGTCAAAAGTCAAAAAGAACAAAGAATGGTTGACAAAGCTGGGGTCAACCATCTAAATCACAAATTATCCAAAATGATCTCATATTATATGTCTTCCGTCCCAAGCCATAAATTCCAATCGTTTCATTCTTGTCCTATGAGAAACTAAAAAAAAAAAAGAACCATTAGTCACGAACAAATATTGTCATTAAGTCTTGAAAAATTATCACTAAAAGAATTAGTGATAGAATCAGCACAGAATTAGATTGGCATGAGTGATCGTTCATCAGGGTCTATTTCAAAATGATTAGGGATTTCAGTGCAAATCCCGCTAAAAGAAGAACTCAACCTTGACTGTACAATTAAATCGTGTTTTTGATATGTGTTGAGAGAGCTAAACTTGAGCAAGTTCAAAACTTGCAGTGGATTCTTCATGACTGGAGCGACGAACACTGTATGAAAATATTGAAAAACTGTTGGAAAGCGTTGCCACAACATGGAAAGATAATTGTGGTAGAACATGTGCTTCCAGCAGTCCCAGAGCCGACTGCAAATGCTCAAGCTGTCTTTCAATTGGATCTTGCCATGATGGTTTACTGCGTTGGTGGGAAAGAGAGGACTGAGAAGGAGTTCAAGGCCTTGGCAACGGAAGCCGGGTTCCCCGGGTTCAAA